TGAGTGTGAGAGTGGAGTGTGTGAGTGTGAGGGTGGAGTGTGTGAGTGTGAGGGTGGAGTGGTGAGTGTGTGGAGTGTGTGAGTGTGAGGGTGGAGTGTGTGAGTGTGAGGGTGGAGTGTGTGAGTGTGAGGGTGGAGTGTGTGAGTGTGAGGGTGGAGTGTGTGAGTGTGAGGGTGGAGTGTGTGAGTGTGAGGGTGGAGTGTGTGAGTGTGAGGGTGGAGTGTGTGAGTGTGAGGGTGGAGTGTGTGAGTGTGAGGGTGGAGTGTGTGAGTGTGAGGGTGGAGTGTGTGAGTGTGAGGGTGGAGTGTGTGAGTGTGAGGGTGGAGTGTGTGAGTGTGAGGGTGGAGTGTGTGAGTGTGAGGGTGGAGTGTGTGAGTGTGAGGGTGGAGTGTGTGAGTGTGAGTGTGTGTGAGTGTGAGGGTGGAGTGTGTGAGTGTGAGGGTGGAGTGTGTGAGTGTGAGGGTGGAGTGTGTGAGTGTGAGGGTGGAGTGTGTGAGTGTGAGGGTGGAGTGTGTGAGTGTGAGAGTGGAGTGTGTGAGTGTGAGGGTGGAGTGTGTGAGTGTGAGGGTGGAGTGTGTGAGTGTGGAGTGTGAGTGTGAGTGGAGTGTGAGTGTGAGGGTGGAGTGTGTGAGTGTGAGGGTGGAGTGTGTGAGTGTGAGGGTGGAGTGTGTGAGTGTGAGGGTGGAGTGTGTGAGTGTGAGAGTGGAGTGTGTGAGTGTGAGGGTGGAGTGTGTGAGTGTGAGGGTGGAGTGTGTGAGTGTGAGGGTGGAGTGTGTGAGTGTGAGGGTGGAGTGTGTGAGTGTGAGAGTGGAGTGTGTGAGTGTGAGGGTGGAGTGTGTGAGTGTGAGGGTGGAGTGTGTGAGTGTGAGGGTGGAGTGTGTGAGTGTGAGGGTGGAGTGTGTGAGTGTGAGGGTGGAGTGTGTGAGTGTGAGGGTGGAGTGTGTGAGTGTGAGGGTGGAGTGTGTGAGTGTGAGGTGGAGTGTGTGAGTGTGAGGGTGGAGTGTGTGAGTGTGAGGGTGGAGTGTGTGAGTGTGAGGGTGGAGTGTGTGAGTGTGAGGGTGGAGTGTGTGAGTGTGAGGGTGGAGTGTGTGAGTGTGAGGGTGGAGTGTGTGAGTGTGAGGGTGGAGTGTGTGAGTGTGAGAGTGGAGTGTGTGAGTGTGAGGGTGGAGTGTGTGAGTGTGAGGGTGGAGTGTGTGAGTGTGAGAGTGGAGTGTGTGAGTGTGAGGGTGGAGTGTGTGAGTGTGAGGGTGGAGTGTGTGAGTGTGAGGGTGGAGTGTGGTGTGTGAGTGTGAGGGTGGAGTGTGTGAGTGTGAGGGTGGAGTGTGTGAGTGTGAGGGTGGAGTGTGTGAGTGTGAGAGTGGAGTGTGTGAGTGTGAGGGTGGAGTGTGTGAGTGTGAGGGTGAAGTGACCCAGCCGTCAGACCCACTGGTCATGACATCAACAAATCCCTTGGGCTTTCAAATGACTTTAAACATTATTAACAGATTAAACAAGATTTAGCCTTACTAAAGGGATTTCTGGAGAACATTAAATATATTAATTATGAACGACGATCACAGGGAATTACTAGACATATAATGAATGTATTTTCTCACATCAAAGGAAACAAAATATACAATGTTAAAACCACGTTAACATGATAAATGTTAATTTGGTCCTAAAGACTGGAATATACCTCCAAGGCTTGTCAACCAGATTGTCAATCACTGACAACTCTCTCTCACAGCTCCTTTATTATAATCTTATCTATAGTTAGGTTAGGTTAGGTTAGGTTAGGTTAGGATAGGATGGGTTAGGTTAGGTTAGGTTAGGATAGGTTAGGTTAGGTTAGGTTAGGTTAGGATAGGTTAGGTTAGGTTAGGTTAGGTTAGGTTAGGTTAGGTTAGGTTAGGATAGGATGGGTTAGGTTAGGTTAGGTTAGGATAGGATGGGTTAGGTTAGGTTAGGTTAGGATAGGTTAGGTTAGGTTAGGATAGGTTAGGTTAGGATAGGTTAGGTTAGGTTAGGTTAGGTTAGGATAGGTTAGGTTAGGATAGGTTAGGTTAGGATAGGTTAGGTTAGGATAGGTTAGGTTAGGTTAGGTTAGGTTAGGATAGGTTAGGTTAGGATAGGTTAGGTTAGGATAGGTTAGGTTAGGATAGGTTAGGTTAGGTTAGGTTAGGTTAGGTTAGGTTAGGTGTTTTATATCTCTGGGTAATTATTTATATAATTACACCCTTATATAATTTTAACCCTGTCGTAGCTCAGTCGATTAAGGCAGTGTCTGGGATGCTCCCGGACGCAGGTTCGAATCCTAGTCACGGCCCTTGTGGATTTGTTTATTTAATTATTTATATTTCTGTACGTGAATGAAGCATTTAGCGAGGAGCAATCCGAACATAGGATCAGAGTAAATCATTGCTCAACAAGCTTCGAACGTCATCAGCTGTGATTCAACTGTAAACAGATCATCCCCATCAACTAAGGCCAAATGTTCATTCCATGCAGCCACCAACCCCCCCCCCCCCCCGATTCTGAATGATAAACGGTTTACACACGACTCACAACGTCGTGTGTAAACCGACTCACAACGTTCGAACATTTTTGGTACAGTGCTGCGCCGACGACCTTTGTTCGAACCCCGGCTCTGTGAATGCTTCACCCACGAACTTAATATGCACAATATGCTAATGTATAATAATATTAATTTATATTTGAGAAAACTCCTCTCATGAATGAAGAGCATGTTAACATTGATGAATGCGTCTTTGGGGTCGGCCGCTGGATGGAATGATCATAGTCTGAGGACGGGTTGATGATTTTGATAGTGCTGGGGTCCACGTGTAAAGATAGTGCTATAGATATTAATACTTCCACATCTGTATTAAGGAGACAACATTATCTACTGAAAAATAAAATTATTAAATTTTTTTATTTTAACTTTAAAGTATAAGAGAAAAAGAGCAGAGGTGTTAAGTTGTGGTGGATGGTGGAGATCCTCACCTTGAGGTACTTAAAGTGTGAGGTAAGGTCCTGACACACACACAGACACACAGCACCGCTCCTGTGCCAGGTAAGTCCACTACGGGCTCACCATAGCCCGTGCTACTTGGAACTTATTCGGAGTAGCTGAATCTATAACAATAACAACAACAGACGGCCCTGACACCAGTGCTGCTCTCGCTAATCTGCCTCTGAAATAATAAAGATTAAATAATATAGAATGTAGAAAGCCCTGATAAATTTCTGGCTTGCCTAACCTATTTCAGTAATAGATATATTAATAATACCAATGGCACACAAGAAGAAAAATAGATCAAGATCTCTTACGTTACCTCACCCAACTCTTTCTTATTTGTTTTGTCGAGGTGAAGATCCGGAGGAAGTCTGGAGTAAGTCAATACCAGACTTTCTTATCTGTCTTACGAGGAGGGAGAGAGAGAAGAGAGAACTATCAGGGGGAAAGCGTCAAGCCATTACGACTATATAGCACTGAGAAGGGGTCAGGATAAGGATTTGGGATGGGACGGAGGGAAGGAATGGTGCCCAACCACTTGGACGGTCGGGGATTGAACGCCGACCTGCATGAAGCGAGACCGTTGACTGGCGCACTGTAATGTGTGGAGTTTTTTTTATTATTATTATTTTCTACCACAGACGTGGCCATACATTCACAATGCTAACCAGCATATATACATTTTCTTCTGTCCTCTATGGACAGGGTTAGAGATCTGTTAAACATATAGTTCAGGGGTTTATTGAATACTCAACCACAGAAGGTGAGTCGGTGCTTTTAAAATGCTAAGCTAACCTCAGTAGGCATCCATCAGTCTCAGGAGACTATGGAGTTGCGCTCTGGTTGTCGGTCTGGAGTGGCCTCACCAGGGCGCAAAGCCAGGGTAGGTTAATTCGGGGGAGAAGCTGTTACCCAGGCAGCAGGGTAACCTACATACGTAAATACATAGATACACAGATTTACGTCTGCCAGTTGTGTGTGGCGCAGAGCAGTGTCGGAATGACCTGTAGTTAGTGTCGGTAGTTGATATGGTTCACTTTGCCTGTTAAACGCTCTTGTACTCTTTGGTTTATCTTGTATACAGTCTCTTGCACCTTAATAGCTTAACTGGCTGAGAGTAACTATTATTGAGTTTCTGTGTTGTTTACGTCTCTTGAGAGTTCGATAAACACAACGCACACAGTCACGAGTCTTTGTTTCGGTCTGAATGCCGCTGGCTGGCGTTCAGACCGAAACAAAGACCTTCTAACAGAACGTCGTCCTTCTAACAGAACGTCGCATTTTGACGTACTCTAAGGTCAAAAATTATCGTACTAGAACATGGTAGCGGCTCACGAAATTAACATACTGTCCCGTTTTCTACTTTGGTACCCTAACCTAATGTACCCTTTGGTACCCTTACCCTAATGCTATGTTACAATAACAGCAGTCTAGTACGACAATTTCTTGACGTTGGGAACCTTGGGAGGACGGGCTGGTCCGTGAGGAAGGACAGCGTGTCCGCTCTCCTTTAAACTTTTGATATTAACTCGAGATTACCCAATTTATCCGAGCTAACAGATAAATACCTAAAGTATTATTTTGGAACATGAGCGTCATGTTTAAGTGGTAATTTGAGTTATTTATATACACTGATACACAGGGAACCATTACTGATGGTTCCTCTTGTGTCCGCTGAGTGGCCTCGTGTGACGTCGTAATGTGCAGAATTGACACTTCTTTTGTTACAGATAAACTATCTATTAATCTATATATATGGTAATTAGTCTGTGATCTAATTGATATGATCACCTACGTCAGGCTGCGAGCAGCCGCGTCTAACAGCCTGGTTGATCAGTCCAGCAACCAGGAGGCCTGGTCGACGACCGGGCCGCGGGAACACTAAGCCCCGGAAGCACCTCAAGGTAACCTCAAGGTATCTATTAATACCCAGGCATGTCCCATTGCTTCCAATGTATATGAGGCCTATAGCTATACATTCATGTATGCTATATTCTACTTTAATTAACGTGAGTGGATATTTTTCCGTAAGTCATTCGTGAAGATAGTGCTGGGGTCCAGGTCATGTGTGAAGATAGTTCTGAGGTCCAGGTCATGTGTGAAGATAGTGCTGGGGTCCAGGTCATGTGTGAAGATAGTGCTGGGGTCCAGGTCATGTGAGAAGATAGTGCTGTGGTCCAGGTCATGTGTGAAGATAGTGCAGGGGTCCAGGTCATGTGTGAAGATAGTGCTGTGGTGCAGGTCATGTGTGAAGATAGTGCTGGGGTCCAGGTCATGTGTGAAGATAGTGCTGTGGTGCAGGTCATGTGTGAAGATAGTGCTGGGGTCCAGGTCATGTGTGAAGATAGTGCTGGGGTCCAGGTCATGTGTGAAGATAGTGCTGGGGTCCAGGTCATGTGTGAAGATAGTGCTGGGGTCCAGGTCATGTGTGAAGATAGTGCTGGGGTCCAGGTCATGTGTGAAGATAGTGCTGGGGTCCAGGTCATGTGTGAAGATAGTGCTGGGGTCCAGGTCATGTGTGAAGATAGTGCTGTGGTGCAGGTCATGTGTGAAGATAGTGCTGGGGTCCAGGTCATGTGTGAAGATAGTGCTGGGGTCCAGGTCATGTGTGAAGATAGTGCTGGGGTCCAGGTCATGTGTGAAGATAGTGCTGGGGTCCAGGTCATGTGTGAAGATAGTGCTGGGGTCCAGGTCATGTGTGAAGATAGTGCTGGGGTCCAGGTCATGTGTGAAGATAGTGCTGGGGTCCAGGTCATGTGTGAAGATAGTGCTGGGGTCCAGGTCATGTGTGAAGATAGTGCTGGGGTCCAGGTCATGTGTGAAGATAGTGCTGGGGTCCAGGTCATGTGTGAAGATAGTGCTGGGGTCCAGGTCATGTGTGAAGATAGTGCTGGGGTCCAGGTCATGTGTGAAGATAGTGCTGGGGTCCAGGTCATGTGTGAAGATAGTGCTGGGGTCCAAGTCACATGTGAAGATAATGCTGGGGTCCAGGTCGTGTGTAAAGCTACTGCCGGGATCAAAGTCATGAGTAAAGATTGTACTGGGGTCCAGGTCATGTGTGAAGATAGTGCTGGGGTCCAGGTCATGTGTGAAGATAGTGCTGGGGTCCAAGTCACATGTGAAGATAATGCTGGGGTCCAGGTCGTGTGTAAAGCTACTGCCGGGATCAAAGTCATGAGTAAAGATTGTGCTGGGGTCTAAGTCATGTGTGATTATAGTGTTGGGGGTCTTAGTCATGTGTTAAGATAGTACTTGGGGTGTAAGTCACAGCTGAACCAAAGGTGCTAGCCACCTCAAACAACATAATATATGTGACCCAGACCGTCTTCATGCTTCCACATCACTGGGTTTAGTAAACAATGGGTTTAGTAAACATTGTTATGCCTAGGAGTTTTGTTATGATTTTCTTCCCACATCACTTTATTCCACACCCCACCCCCTCCCCCCCACACACCCCACAACACTTTGTCTCCTTCACCCCCACAACCTCACAACCCCCTCGACCACCACACCACTTCGGCCACCACACCCCCCCACAATACGTCGACCACCACACCCCCACTAGCAGCACTGCAAGACTGGCTTGCAAGATTTACAGCTGACCTCCATTACTTGCCCTGAAGGTGGCTTAGTTCCCCCTCCTTCCCCTTCCATCTTCCCCTCCCCTCCTCCCCTCCCCTTCTCTCTCCCGTCCCCTCTTTCCCAGCACCTCAACAGGACCATCACTCTTGTTAATGGGCAACGGAGTCCGGTAGAAGAGCCGTGTTGGACCTTCGAACTCCGCGAATTTCGAACAGTCACAAGAAATTACGGACGAGGAGTGGATACAGTGTGTGTGTGTTTGTGTGTTTGGAGTGGTGGCAGTGTTTGGAGTAGGGACGGTGTACTCACCTAGTTGTGTTTGCGGGGGTTGAGCTCTTCCTTACCGAAAGAAAAAAATCTTTCTAGTGTGTGTGTGTGTGTGTGTATGTGTGTGTGTGTGTGTGTGTGTGTGTGTGTGTGTGTGTGTGTGTGTGTGTGTGTGTGTGTGTGTGTGTGTGTGTGTGTGTGTGTGTGTGTGTGTGTGTGTGTGTGTGTGTGTGTGTGTGTGTGTGTGTGTGTGTGTGTGTGTGTGTGTGTGTGTGTGTGTGTGTGTGTGTGTGTGTGTGTGTGTGTGTGTGTGTGTGTGTGTGTGTGTGTGTGTGTGTGTGTGTGTGTGTGTGTGTGTGTGTGTGTGTGTGTGCGTGTGCGTGCGTGCGTGCGCGAGGACGGTGTTTGTGTGTGCCGTATGGGAGCGGTGTGTATATGTGTGGTGTAGTGTATTTATCGTACGATTGTGCTATTTAGCAACTGCGCGTGGTAATGGTGGTTGATTTAGTGTGGCGGGAGTGTGGGTGTAGTGTGAGAGCGGTGAAGGTGTAGCCTGGATACAATGCGAGTGTAGTATGGAGGTGTCGTCCGAGGGTGTGTGCTTCGTGTCTGTGGACACCAAGTTTGAGTGGAGGTAAATAGGCGCTGCCTCGTACAGGCCTTCTTTTGTTTCTTGTATTACGTTCTCGAGCGTGGGTTGGTGTATTACATAGACTGTGTACTCACCTAACTGTGTTTGCGGGGGTTGAGCTCTGGCTCTTTGGTCCCGCCTCTCAACCGTCAATCAACTGGTGTACAGGCTCCTGAGCCTACTGGGCTCTATCATATCTACACTTGAACCTGTGTATGGAGTCAGCCTCCACCACATCACTGCCTAATGCATTCCTAATGTGTGGGCGTGGTCGAGCGATTGTAGAATGTAGATGTATTTTGCTAGTGTATAGTCCTTCTCAGTAAGATCTATAAGATGTGTTAGATCTATAAGACTTAACTCTCCATCTTTCTCCCTCTCGGCCTCTCCTCCTACCCCTTTCATCTCCTTCCTTCCTTCCCTCCTTCCCTCCTGCCTCTCATTTCTTCTCCATGCACTCCCCCTCCTCTGCCTCCACCTTTTCTATTCTCTCCCTTCCCTCCTCCCTCTCCTAGACCTCCCCCTGGCCACCAGCACCTCTAAGGAGGACCTCATCAAAGGTCAAATATTGAAGTTGTAACTTGTTCTAAACATGAACCGAACTTCAATATTTATATTCCAGCCTTGTGTTTTGTGGTGTTAAGTGTGTGTGTGTGTGTGTGTGTGTGTGTGTGTGTGTGTGTGTGTGTGTGTGTGTGTGTGTGTGTGTGTGTGTGTGTATTCCAGAGTTGTGACTGCATGGTCGAGCTTCAGTTCTTAGCCCCAGCAACCTCGTGTGATTCATTCCACCTGTTCTCTCACGCTGTAGAAGAGCTTTCTCTTATGCTTGTGTCTCATCTGCGTCTCTCGCTCATGCAGTCTTTCCCTCTTCCGTTTCTCCTGCTGAACATCTCGCCTCTTGTCTCCCCAGCCAATTATCGTATGTAAGTATACGTCGTCAACTTGACCTCTTTCTTCAGCGTTGTGAGGTCTAGTTCCCAGCTTAGCATTTCCTCATTTTCTGAGCCTCTCATTTCGAGTCATTTTCTAGTGGCATAGCTCTCACAAGATGAGATGTTATGCAAGTGCTGCATATTTCAATAATGGTTTCACGTAGGTATTGTATGAGGCTTTGTAAGCTTGTTTGTCTGGGTTTCTGAATACTACGAGGATGTTCACCAGCATTGCAGACGCCATTGATGTTGTTCAGATGGTGTGCGTTGCAAATGAGGCTCCGGATGATTACCCACGCTTCTTGGGGTCTCTCCCATCATGTACACATCACTTTGCATACCTCATGTCCAGCCATCATTTGTAGTTGCTGTGTGTGTTCTGCCTATCTCCTGCTGTTTGTACTTTAACCACCACACCCCCACACTGTGTGTGGGTGTGTGGTGGTTGAGGTACTGTGTGGGGGTGTGGTGGTTGAGGTACTGTGTGGGTGTGTGGTGGTTGAGGTACTGTGTGTGGGTGTGTGGTGGTTGAGGTACTGTGTGGGTGTGTGGTGGTTGAGGTACTGTGTGGGGGTGTGGTGGTTGAGGTACTGTGTGGGTGTGTGGTGGTTGAGGTACTGTGTGGGGGTGTGTGGTGGTTGAGGTACTGTGTGGGTGTGTGGTGGTTGAGGTACTGTGTGGGTGTGTGGTGGTTGAGGTACTGTGTGGGGGTGTGGTGGTTGAGGTACTGTGTGGGTGTGTGGTGGTTGAGGTACTGTGTGGGGGTGTGGTGGTTGAGGTACTGTGTGGGGGTGTGGTGGTTGAGGTACTGTGTGGGGGGTGTGGTGGTTGAGGTACTGTGTGGGTGTGTGGTGGTTGAGGTACTGTGTGGGGGTGTGGTGGTTGAGGTACTGTGTGGGTGTGTGGTGGTTGAGGTACTGTGTGGGGGTGTGTGGTGGTTGAGGTACTGTGTGGGTGTGTGGTGGTTGAGGTACTGTGTGGGTGTGTGGTGGTTGAGGTACTGTGTGGGGGGTGTGTGGTGGTTGAGGTACTGTGTGGGTGTGTGGTGGTTGAGGTACTGTGTGGGGGGTGTGTGGTGGTTGAGGTACTGTGTGGGGGGTGTGGTGGTTGAGGTACTGTGTGTGTGGGGGGGGTGTTCTATAATTTATATACGTCTTCGCCATCGTCTTTTCCTAAGATTTACTAAGGCTTGTTCAGCAAGATTTCCTTTTGTACAGGAAGTTCCACCCAAGATATTCATGTAGTCTCCTGCAGATATTTAGTAATATTTGTATTATACACCTTTATACATTATATTATATTTATATTGTATACCTTTCTTGTTCCTGTTCTCCTGCAGCGACCCCTCTCTCCCATTCTCTTCCTCCCCTCCCATGATAACGTTCCCCACCATCACTCCGTTCCACAATTCCTTGTCTGCCCCAGCCCATTCCTTCTTTCTCACACGATCATTGCATTTCCACTCCCCGTTCTTCGCTTCCTTTACCCTTCCACGCTTTCCCTTTAAATGGCCACGAACAACACCTGTGGCCCCTTTTCTTTCTGATGGTGCCTCCCTCCTCACCCCCTCCCTCTCTCCCTCCCTCCCTCTTCCCCCCTCTCTCTCCCTCCCTCCCTCTCTCTCCCCTCTCTCCCCTCGCCCCCACCCACATGTGTGGTTGTGTTTGCCAGTCTTGCTACACAAGCTGCGGCCGCCCACCGCTCTACTGTCGCGACTAGATAACCCGCCGGACATTTACCCAAGTATATGCGTATAGGAGATGGCAACATCAAAGACCCGGGGGGTTCCCGCGCTCCCGGCAATTTTCCCACGGCCCTGGCGATTTTCCCACGCTCGGAACAAGGCGTGATATCAGGGTTTCTTTTTTTTTCTTTCTTAATGTTACGAATTTTTTTTTATCCAACTTATTCTCTCTCTCTCTCTCTCTCTCTCTCTCTCTCTCTCTCTCTCTCTCTCTCTCTCTCTCTCTCTCTCTCTCTCTCTCTCTCTCTCTCTCTCTCTCTCTCTCTCTCTCTCTCTCTCTCTCTCTCTCTCTCTCTCTCTCTCTCTCTCTCTCTCTCTCTCTCTCTCTCACTCTCACTCTCAAGATAATCACCTGCATCTCCCCAAACAGGCTTCCCGTCTCCTTCAACTTGCGCTACACAAGACTTTTCAATCATGATTTTCATTGGAGTTTTCTCTGCGTTCCACCAACATGGAAATTGTTGAGTATGCTAACAGAGGCGCGTGTGTGTGTACTCACCTATTTGTTCTTGCGGGGGTTGAGCTCTGGCTCTTTGGTCCCGCCTCTCAACCGTCAATCAACTGTTTACTAACTACTTTTTTTTCCTCCACACCATACACACACCCCAGGAAGCAGCCCATGACAGCTGACTAACTTCCAGGTACCTATTTACTGCTAGGTAACAGGGGCATTCAGGGTGAAAGAAACTTTGCCCATTTGTTTCTGCCTAGTGCGGGAATCGAACCCGCGCCACAGAATTACGAGTCCTGCGCGCTATCCACCAGGCTACCAGGCCCCCCTGGTAGCCTGTGTGTGTGTGTGTGTGTGTGTGTGTGTGTGTGTGTGTGTGTGTGTGTGTGTGTGCGTGCGTGCGTGCGTGCGTGCGTGCGTGTACTCGTGAGTACTATTTAGGAGCTTAGATAAAGAGGCGTTCGAAATATACAACCTACACAAGACCAACCCTCAGGTATACAGCTCCGAGATATGCGAAACAAGGTTTGTGCCAGAGCTAAGAGAACACGACAACATCGAATGCCTGAGAGAACTCAACCTCACCACATTTAAGGAAATAATAAACAAGGGAGATATGATAACGTACAA